GTGTACAACAACACCTACTATGGGGGCTACCAAGTCAGGGAAAAGTCCACTAAATAGTATCAATTCATAGACCCTCAGTAAACAACCAGTTTACAATCTAATCACTTAATCACTACCCGTGCTATACTTCTACCTAAGACATACCTAGGTATGAGGCCCTCCTCAAATCCCTTCAATCACTAACAGTGAAAACAACAATTATTATGTTTGAAAAACCTCAATCATTCAATACTTAAAAGCTTATGAATAATCCACAATTCACAACTCAAATTAAAACTCAAGTATTGAACCAATACTAGATGTATTACAATTAAAAGACTTAGACTTCTAAAAAGCACAAAGTATGTTTTTCTTCAAAAGTTGCAGTTCAAAGAATAAGGGTGCAAGTCCTTATAAAGGCGCAGCAGCGGGCATGGACTGAAAAACACATATTCCAATAAATTGAATCCCTTGAATATCTCCATGAAAATAAGCCAAGATATAATTCAAAAGGATAAGACAAATAGAAAAATATTCCTCCATATTTTTTGCAAGCTATAAACCATAAAACCTGAATAAGCCACGCTTAAAAATAGGAAACAACAAATCTGAAAACACATTCAGATCAGTAAACAGATGTCAAGACATCTGCTTTGACATCATTCAAAAACAGTTGAGATGTTTTACTTCAAATGTCAAAACAATAAGCAAAACATTACCAAAGAATTGTTTTACCAAAGTTGCTGCCAATAAACACTAACATAATCAATGAATTGAGCTCTTAGTTTAATTATTTGTGTAAGAAATTTTACAAAATCCATATCACGACTTGATAATAAACATACATATGACCATCTACTAGATGCATCAATTAATACCATAAAGTATGTAAATGATCCTGACGGTGGATGAATAGATTCACATATATCACCTTGAATTCTTTCAAGAAATGTAGGTGATTATGTATGAATCTTTCCTGGTGAATACTTTGTTATTAGTTTGCCAAGAGAGCAAGCTTCACATTGTCTATCTTCTTTTGTAAGTTTTAAACCTTTAAATGGATGACCATATGTACTTTCAACTATTTTACGCATCATTGTTGAACCAGGGTGACCTAAACGGCCATGCCATAAATTCATAATTTTGAGATCTTCTTTTACTACTAAATTGCATTCAGTTTAATGTATATATGTATAATGTAACCCAGAAGGCAATTTTGGTAGTTTTTCTAAAGCTTTATTCTTTCTCAAAATATTAGCAGTCATATTAATATATTTCATGTTACCTTAAGTTGCAGTTTCGGTATCATATCCTTAAAGATATATGTTATTAAAATTTAACAAGTTTCTTTTTGATTTATGAGAGTATAAAGCATTATTAATGACAAACTTTGTCCCATTTGGTAATATGAACATAGTATAACATGTTCCTTCTATCAAATCTGCAAGACCTGAGATTGTATTTATTACACCTTTAGTAAGATTTAGTTTAGTAAAATATTTCTTACTTTTGAGGATTCTATGTGTAGTTCCACAGTCCGGAATGCAAATGTCTTTGACATGTTCCATGTCTAACCCTTTTGAAATAGAAATGAGATTAAATAGAGATTAAATCAACAACATATTTAACATTATTATATTATGCAAACATAAGATACACATACAAATTCTTAAGACGATACGTAGTCCAAATGTAAAATTAATAAAGCACATCACTCATTTTTAAATAATTATTTAATTTATTGTTCCTTCAACGAAATCAGCAGTCTCAAAATAGGTACTATCATCTCTGGGTTCAATTTCATTAAAATTCACTTCTTTTCCCTTTTCCTCTATAGATGTCATTTGTCTTTTACACAAATGTTCTGGTGTTCTACACACCTTAGACCAGTGGCCTTTCTTTCCACATATGTAGCATACATCTTCATAATTTCTCGAGGGACCTTCTTGGATATACCTATCATTTTCTTGGCGATTCCAATTATTTTGGTCATATCTGGAAAAATAGTTTCGACCTTGGAAAATGTTTTGGCCATGGTATCTTCCTTCACTGTGACCATCAAAACGCATGACCTTTATTACCATCAAAACGAGCATGTCCACCACGTCTCTTAATATAATTAAAGCCACCACGCCCACGGTTAAAGGTTGTGGCATTTATTTCAGGATATGCAATTGTTCATGTGGGTCGTGTCTAGTGGTTTTTTTATAAGGAGCTCGTTATTTTGTTCTGCCACTAGAAGGATTGCAACTAAATCAGAATACTCAACAAATTCCCTCATTCTATATTGTTATTGCAATAATACCTGGGATGCATGGAAAGTTGAAAAAGTTTTTTACAATTTTTTTTTCCGGTTATAATTTTGCAACAAAATTCTAGTTATGCTATAATCTGGTGCATAACAGAGTTATATGCAACGACACTTTTGTAATCTTGGAACCTCAACTTATTCCATTGATCCATTAATGAGGGTAATAAGACGTTCTTTTGATGTCCAAATCTTGATTTAATTTTGTCCCATAAAATTTTGGGATCTTTAGCATTTGAATATTCGGTTTGCAATCTATCATCAAAATGGTGTTTGATTATTCTGTTCACTTTTGACTTTCTCTTTTCCATTTCATCTGGGTCGTATGTCGATTTTCCAGAATTGTCTCCTTCAAGTATTTTGCTAAGTCTCTCACATGTAAGGTATTCAATTAAATTGTTATTCCAGGTTATGAAGTTGTCTTCAGTTATGCTTAGAATTTTGAATTGATGCTTAAGATTTGACACGATTATATCTATAATTCAGATGAACATAAACAATGTTAAATACATAAACTAAAAAAAAAAAAAAAAACAATTTATTCAATTACAAAATTCATGACTACATATTATTCAAAAACCTCTACAAATAAACCAAGCTAAGACTAGTAATGGTAAGACGATAATTATTATCAAAGCTACAAAAGCATTACCCAATTCTTCACGTTTGATAACACTGATAATAAACAAAATAATTACAAGTAGAGTAATGAACAAAAGAAGAATTTTAGCCATGTGAAAAATATAGGTAGAAGTTTTGAGAATGATGTGAAAATTATGGAAGAAGTTAAAATATTTATAGAGGTAATTTTTTTTTTAAATAGCCGTTATATTATCGTTGGGAAAAAGGAAAAAGAAAAAGGGAAAATGTTAAGTGTGAAGAAAAAAATATTATCTAGCCAAAATTTAAGTGTGTAAAAAGAATAATCATATGATCGTTATAAGTGTTATAGATAATTATCAGATAACATATAAGACAAAAGAACACATATGGTAAATATTAGAATATATATATATATATATATATATATATATATATATATATATATATATATATATATATATATATATATATATATATATATATATATATATATATATATATATATATATATATATATATATATATATATATATATGAAGTTTTAGACCTAAATTAAATATAAAAGCTAGTAACACCATGAAATTTTAAACCTCCACTAAATATAAAAGCTAGTAACAATATGTAATTTTAAACCTCCACTACATATAAAAGCTACTAACAATAAGAGGTTTTAAACCTCCACTAAATATAAAATTTAGTAACATCATATGCGGTTTTAAACTTCCACACAAAATATATAATAAGAATAATTTTACTTATTATAGAACACTTGACGAGTTGTCAGTTTTCTATAACAAGAAGTAAAATAATAATAATAACAATAATAATCACTCTAATTATAAATCACTTAATTGGTTACCGATTTTCTATAACTGAGACAAATAATAATAATAATAATAATAATAATAATAATAATAATAATAATCACTGTAGTTATAAATCACTTAACTGGTTGTTAATTTTCTATAACCGAGACAAATAATAATAATAATAACAGTAATAGCTACTCTCGTTATAAATCACTTGACTCGTTGTCAATTTTTTATAACTAGAGCAAATAATAATAATAATAATAACAGTAATAATAAAATTAAATTAATAAGTATAGAATATATACCTAGTGTAGTAAAAAATTTCAATAAAAACGATAACATGATGAGAAAAACCAAAATATTTGAACCAAATTATAAAAATAGAGATGTAAAAGATAGTATTGGAGTAAAACCAAAATATTTGAACCAAACTATAAAAATAGAGATGTGAAAGATAGTGTTGGAATAATTTATTTATGTGAGAGAATTGTTGTCATCTTGAATGAACTTAATATATGCTATTTATATTATTTGAATTGCAACTATTCATTATATGTAATAATTCATATAAATATACAATGTTTAAAAATGTTCGTAAATAGAAGATATTTACTATTTACAATACATTTAATAGTAGTAATAATTATTTCTTATTATTATAATAAAAAGTAAAATTTTATCGTTAAAAATTTGTTTCACTTTAAAAAATTGAACACAAGTTACCACAAAAAATCTCGTATTTCTATAAAAATTTAAAAGTAGATATCGCCTTTTACCGAAACTGCATCTAATAGAAACGACAGGTTATTAATGGACCCAACCTATTCTGCTGTTGTTCACATGCAACCAGTGCCTAGTGTCTCACTCAATAAATTCACCACTATTATTCAATGCAAATCACTGTATATATCAATTTAATGCATTTCACACTTCTATTGAAATCAATATCTTAATTCACATACATTTTTAATATGAAGAATTTTTATACAGTTAATCAATCAATCATAATATTGTAACTTATTAAAAATATATTTGACATTTATCAAAATTTCATAAAATAAATAATGTAAAATTAAATATTTATCAATTATTTCCGTTAAACCAGATGAGTTGATATACATGCAATTCTAGGGAGATATGGAATGCAAATATAAGTCATGCAAGATCATCAATGGAAGCAAAGCAATACCAGTCACATTTCCTTTAACAAAAATGCATACACTTCATAACACAGAAAATTTGCTTATTACAAAAAAGAAAAACTGCTTAACTAGTAACTAGCCCTAGTTGAAAGAACTTCACATTGGTGGAAGATATGTTATCACAATAGGACTTCTTACTTTATGCACCCCATCTTTCCATACCAAACCTCCAAATTCTGGTTCACTTTGCCTAGTTGTAATTTTGAAACTGATCTTATAAGATAACTTCTGATATTTCCTAGTAAATTTCAATGTATCAGGCTCAACTTTAACTTCAGCGCCTTTGAATGGCGTAACAATCACACGATATTTCGAAACAGCAGGTCCAACATTGGTAACAGTTCTGTGAATCGCCGAAGCTGAACCAGTTGTTTTCTCAGGAAACACTACTGATATAGCAGGATAGTTCAAGTCACCTACATTAGCAAGAGTGTGCTTGCACGTTTTGTTTGAATGTTTGGCAAAAATTCCTAATTCGGAAAGACTCAGTTTCTGTTTGCAAAGAAACTCAAAGTAGTCTTGTGGTTGAATATCATATACTAAACCTGGTTCAAGTGCTTTTCGAGGGTTAATGTGACCTGCACCGTGATCGTAAGGAGTTGAAAACTCGGCAGAAGAAGCATCTCTAAGAGGTTTAATAGTATTATCATGAACATAAGCTGTTGTCATGATTGCGGATTTTATAGCAGCAGGACTCCATTCAGGATGTTTAGCTTTGATCATCGCCGCGATTCCACTTACATGAGGGCACGACATGGAAGTCCCGGAAAGGATGTTGAATTTCACTCTTCTGTGATCTGTTTGTAAGCTTGATGGACCTGTAACACCACTCCATGCAGCAAGAATGTTCACACCAGGTGCTACTATGTCGGGTTTGAGAATTTCGAGGGTAAGCAAATTAGGCCCTCTTGATGAAAATGCAGCTACTATAGGTGATGGTTTGATTCCTAATCTTGTGTTTAGAAAAGCTAATGTTGCAGTTGGTTTTTTATTTGTTAACACATACTGTTTGATGCTTTTGCCTTCTTTTTCTCCTACTGCTATTGCAGGAATTAGGTGACAATCTGCTACAAGCTCTTCACCATTTGCTTCTGTGTTCGTGAGAATCATTCCTACACCTCCTGCATTTTTCACTACTTGACCCTTTTGAACTCTAGGATTAATTCCTCTATCGCAAATCACAATCTTCCCGGCTACGAGTTTACGGTCTAAAGTACCTTCTAAACACAAAGATCTTGGATCAGGACTAGTTGAGTTACCTCCCATGTATACCAGAGGGTACTGTTTTCTAACCGAGAGCATAGCTTGTCCTTTATAGAGCGATGTTCCGGTTACTTTTCTTCCATTTCCGAGGCTAACATCTGCTGGAAAATCTCTGTCCATTGTGCTAGCTCCAACTGTTGTGATCCATGGAGAAACATTTGTTAAGCTCACAGGCTCAGGTCCTGAGTTTCCCGCTGAACATGAAATGAAAACACCCTTTTCCATAGCTCCGAATGAAGCTACGGATAGACTATCGCGGTAGTAAGAAGAAACTCCACCACCTAAAGAGATCGATAGAACATTGACTCCGTCGGCTACTGCTGTATCAACAGCTGATAGAATATCTGAGCTGAAACATCCACCAGTCCAACATACTTTGTAAGCTGCAATTCTTGCACCTGTCCATAAAAACAAAGAATAAATCAAACGTAATCACAAGTATCAGTGTTTTGACACTTAAACCCACACAGAGACACTTTTTTCCAGAGGTATCGGTGCTACAGAGTAATTATATTAGTAATACCTGGAGCCATTCCTCTTGCTGTTCCATAAGCATAACCAAGAAGATTAGCACCATGAACTGGAGATCCAGCAACAGTAGCTGCAGTGTGAGTTCCATGACCATCTTGATCTCTAGGAGATTTGTAATCTGCTTGTTCATTAATCTTACCAGTTGCTGCTTCATATCCATGGTAGAAGATTCTTGCACCCACAATCTTCTTATTACAATGATGTTTTTGAAACCCTCTACCAGTTTCACATGCACCTTTCCAATGAGAAGGTACCGGCGTCATTCCGGCGTCATTGAAACTCTCACTCTCAGGCCAAATACCAGTGTCCAAAACTCCAACCACAACATCATGGCTAACTAGTTTCTCCGACCAGCTTTTGTTGTTGGTTTGAATTGGTTCAAGACCAAGAAAATAAGGACTTCTTGTAGTGTGTAGTTCATACTTTGTATCAGGGAAAATAGCTACAACACCATCTTCAGATTCTAGTCTTTTTGCTTCTTCTGCACTTAATTTAGCAGCCATTCCATGAAAAGCAGTGCTGTAACTGTAAATGATTCTCTCTTCATCATTCTTGTCTATTTCAGTTTCTACTGATTTAGACAAAACTGATTTCACTTTTGATGAATACCAATCTAGATGACTGGAAAACACTTCTGGTTTCGCCGAGTTTTCCATTTGAATGATGTAAGTGTTTTTGGTAAACTCAGCATTTGCTAAGGCTATACTCAAGAGGAAACAGGTTGTTAGAATGAAACTCATGTTTTGCATTGGAGTATTTTGATACTTAGCCATGAAAAAGAAGCTAGGATTTTTGAAGCATTTGGTTTGGAAGTGGAGTAGATAGATGAAGAAAGTTTGATAATAAAGACAGTAGTGAGAGATGTTTTGTTTGACAGCAGTGCTCACAGGAAATAAAGGTGAACGGTTGTTTCTTGTTGGATTGTTGAGTGTAAATTGAATGGTGAATTAAAAGAGCTACCTCTTGTTTGGTGAATGGAGTTAATGTGGGTATGGTTTCTCTGACTCTACCCAACATTGTGTTTTACATAATTACATAGAATTCTTGTAGCTACACTAACCAATACGTTGGGCCATGTTTGTAAAAGGACATCAATGTTTCCTTTTTCTTTGAAACACTTATTCAATTGTTAAGTTAAATTTGATTGTTTGTAAAAAAAGGTAAATTTGATTCAAAATAAAAGTAAAAGTAATAAACTAGGGGCCTAAGTCACATGTCCTTAAACTCTTTAACTTTTACTTTGGTGCTACCGTTTTGGTTAGGGGCGAAATTGATGTGGTCGGTCAGACATATCTGTTTTACTCGCATTTTTCTCTAGTCGGGACAAGATTGCCCACACTCTTTAATAGTATGTCTCCGTTCATTTTCTTTTCGGGCTATTGTGAGTGTCTCAATAACATTTTTTTTTTGCACTTTTAGACTTTAGGGGTGTAGGGGCTGCATGCCTACCTTGTATGTGGTATCTATCGTTCACAACAACCAATTAGACTTAATAAATGTGTGTCCTACCACTTTATATGAAATTTATCTTTAAAGTGAGTGACTCACATTTGTTTCATTCAATAAGAGAGTACATTTGTTTCATTCAATAAGAGAGTGAATGTCTGAGAGAGTGTTAAAAAGAAAGTGTTACTAGTAGTTTCCTTACATAATTACATAATATTACTCAATAATAGGATTCTTAGGAAGCAATATTTCTAGATCATATCTGTGTGGTATATGAGTCAAACTCTTTTACCAACAGAATCAATCTCCGCTGGATGTTATAAATGCTTAGTGATTGTATAAGCACCAAGCACAAGCCTTACCATTCACTATTCACTATGACATTGGGCCAAAGAAAATTGGCCAACCGCTTAAAATAGTGAGTCATGTTATCAAGGATCAAAGTAATTCAACAAGGAAAAATTCTTGAATTGATTATTTAGTCTTTCATGCATTGCATGAAAACAAATATTTGATAATGTGTCCCCACTTTCTCAGAATGCATGTAATACATCTGAACACCGCTAAGTTAATTTGGATTCCCCAAGTGGCCAACTATTTCTCCACTTATTTAATTATTGTGTTCAAGTTGTAGTATATTTTTCACTATACATACATGGTGGTGTAATTCTAATCTTCCATTACAAATTTTCATGTTTTGATGAGTTATCAATGTGCAGTTATATTTGTTGTGATATACTGAGATCTTCTGATAAAATATTTAAATATATGATAGAAAGAATAAGAATGTAGAGTAGAAGAGGTCTAGTGATGCCACTAGTCGGGAATGATTTTCATGTTTTGTTGATTAAGAACGAGTTATAACTTATAAGTCAAAAGTTTATAGTATGTCATAATTATGGTCATAATCACATAAGAAAGGGAAATGGCTGAGATGTTGTAGGCGACGCGAGGCCTCCCTCCGCCCCAACCGATGTATTTGACCCAAACGTGTGTTAGGTCTAATTTGTTGTGAAGGGTGATAGATCTGTGGCACAGTATTATATATTGTACATATGGTATTTCACCTAAAAGCATTTGAGCTAGACCCAACCTCAGATGTGACATAACCCATCCCGATCTAATGCATTCACAGGAAAAGATTAGGCCAAATAATTTCTAATGGGTTAAATGGAGAACACCAGCTCATACCCAAATACAACTCACTTCTAATAAATACCGTTATCCATGCAGATAGAATATTTAATTCATTGAATAGTCTTAAAAGATCGGCCTCTAAGAAGATGTTAGAACAGAAACGCGAATACAGATCAGAGTAGAGAAAAACACATAAAAGTTTTGTTCACGCAGTTCGGCTGAATTACATACGTCAGTGACTATAAAGTAGTTATGGTTCACTTTATTTATGTCTTATGAATTGCATATAGATTACAGTGCCACAAGTCATATATATAATACGAGGTTTTAGTTTATCTAAAACTCTAATCCATAGTTTCCCTCAAAAAACAATTTTCTCTACCCATAATTATCTCAACAATATGAGCTACTCTCTCGAAAACCTATAGTTATTTCAACAACCCATAATTATCTCAACAATATGAGTTATACTCTCAACAACCCATAATTATCTCAATAACCCATAATTATCTCAATAAAATGAGTCATATTCAACAATCTCCACCTTGGCAAATATCAAACCCCTATGAAGACTTCCTACATATTGATCCGTCTTGTAAACTAGGGAGGTACACCTCCTTCTTAATATTGAGAAACATGTAACAAGTCTAAATATTGTTTGAACTTGTCATTGGTGATTGGTTTGGTCAACATATCAGATGCACTCTCTAAAGTGTGAACCTTTTGAAGTAATATTTGTCTGGATGCCAACAACTCTTTGATCTTCAAGAACCTTGTAACACCCTATTTTCCCCATCGAATAATTATTATAAAATCAGACTAATTTAAAAATTCAAAGCAACATCAAAATAGGATGTCACATTTCATAATCTCAAAAGTTGCTCAACGTTTAGAGAATAGATACATAACACAAAACTCGGATGAACCGGCGGCATGTCATCATTCCACTTCACTTTATTCATTTAACGAAAACAAATTTAATTAGAGTTTAATAATCAATTCCAACAAAACATAGGCATTGTCTCCTCACATGAAAGAGAAATTATAAAGTTCTCATAATATTCCAAAATCAACAACTATCAAATAAACACACAAACGTTCATCCTCGGTGTTACATATAAGAGCAAGACCCAACTCAATCTACGCACTACGAGGCGCATCTCCATACCTCAAGCAACTCTAATCTTTGTCACCTGCGCATTACCCACGTGGAGACAACATCAAATAGTAAGGGGTGAGATATCATAACAATATAAATAAGTATATGATAATGAGTAGATAAAGTTTAACATTCATAATCATAAATTCACACCCTATGTATCAACATCAACATGCGATATAGTTTCAACAATCACACCCAACAAGCAACAAATCACATCTTACTCAACAACAACATCATAATGCAATGAGACCGACTTCACCAACTGTATACATGTGGTACCATAACAACGTCTCTATGCCATTTGGATTATTTAACACCCCAATTCTACCCGTCAGAATTAATAATAAAAATCAGAGTAATAAAATTTCATAAATAAATTGAGGCATCACATATCCATGGTTTCCACTTTGCAATAAAATGCATCATCAAAATAATCAAAAGTCGGATATAACGATCATGCCATCATACATCAAATAAGTATATAAATATGCACACGACAGCGGATACATCACCATCTATGTCGTATAAAAACATATACATCAACAAAATAATCATGTTATGAAATAGACATAATCCACATAGTTATCAGGATATACAAGTACTCTGTCCTAATAAAAACAACAAAAGTGCTAATCCCTGGTGTTACGCTATCAGAGCAAGGTGACTCAAAAAGTAATGACTCGAGCTAATCCACCTCATCAACCGGATCACCTGCACGTTACCAATATAAAGGTAACGGCGAAACAAGTAAAGGGTGAGATAATTCAAATCATATAAATAAAGAGATGATAAATAGTATATAGTTTCGAAATTATAAAGAGATACCGATAATAAGTAATATTCAACATATATTCCAATCTCACACACTTTTATCACCAATTTAATTTATATATATCAACACTTTATCATCACCACATAAATCATCACAATTCATCACAATCGTCATAAATCATCATAAAACAACACATAACCAATGAACTCAAACAAACATAACCGACACAATATGACTCGACTATGTATGCATATGGTAACAACACATTTTGTTCGTAATAAGGAACATTGGCTAAAGCCCTCGTCATTTTGGCAAAAGCCCTCGTCATTTATGCAATGTATGTGACTCGACAAAAGACAACACATACACACAATAACACATCAACATCGTCATAATCATCAAAATGGCATAAGCCCTCGTCATTATATTTACCAAACATCAGAGGTAAAACATCATCATTAACATCATCATATTTTGCATTATGCAAATCATCATCAACAAAAATCATGCATTCACATTTTGGAAGCATTAATCAACAATATTCACAATTCAATTAATTCCGGTTACGGATTAATATTCACCAAAATATACTCGTCATAAAAATCATCCCAAAATAATCGGCATTAATCCTATTAATAAACTTCACAACCGAGTCGCTGAAACGCAACTCAAACCGTCTAAATCGAACTCGTTTTCATCATTTACCGGTTACCCGAATTACCGCTTGAATCCAATATAATTAACTTTATAAAATAATATTTCATTCTATAGAATATATATTGTTTCTGTTTTCATTTCTCAGGAACTTTCTCAACCCAGAAAACATATATTTTCATTTGCTATTTCATTTCACAGTTTCATTTTCTTAACAGAACAATTATAATCCATAATATAATTCTTCCAGCATCACAATAAAAAACAACAACTAATATATTTTCATTATCACAATCCAAAAACCAAATTAAACCAAGAAATTTTCAAGAATCACTCAAATCCTCATAACCCTAACTCAAATAAAATCTATCATTAATCTATTTATAGGATAGAAATTACCAAACCCCTTACCTCTAACTCTTGATTCTAGCAAGCTTTTGTTATGGGTTCCTCTATTTTTCCTCTTCAAGCCACAACTCTAGCCCTCTTTACTCTTGTTCTTCTTTTTCTTCTCTCAAGACCACTTCTCTCTCACTCTGTGTTTCTATTTTCCACCTCCTGATAACACTACTTACAAAACAACCACTAAATGCCCTTTTGTT